CCCCACCCCCCCCCCCCCTTCCAGCGTTGCTACTCGGGGGTCTTGGATTCTAGCATCCTTCCGCACAAGATGCAAGACATCCAGCAGCCAATCAGAGCTTGGCATGTAGGTCAGGTGACGTCCACCATCTAGAGGGTGAGCCACAAAATGGGTGAGGAAACGGACCCCTGCACGTTGGTACTGGAGCCGACAGCCACGCGCTCTCCTCTCAGCTTCTTCTCCACCCTCTTCTGGCTCTGCTGGACTGTTCAGAGAAGAAATGCAAACACATAGCACATTTACAAGAGTTAGATATACTTCAATCCTTCCGGTACATTTTTTCACTAATCTATATTAAACTGGCATCAACTCCAGATAAGGAACTTTGATTAGAATGCCTGTTTCTAATTTCTCCATCATCTTTCTAGAGAAGCATTCAAGGCAATTTCAATATCCCAAGAAATCCTTTTTCCAACTGAAAGACGTAACAAAGGTTGCTTTGGTACTTTGCATCAATGCAAATACTTTGTTCCTACTTCTTTACACTTTTTTTCTTGTCCTCTTGCATGTTCCTACTTACACCATCCAAAGTTGATTTCATTAACATAAGTTATCACACAACTGTACATTCTTAATTCTCTTGGACCCCCACAGCAACACTGTCTATATGGAAATCGTTATTGGGCATGAAGGAATTAGATATCAAAATATCAACACTCTGGACAATGGTACTTGAAATGGACCTTCCTTATCTTCTTTCTACATTCTTACACAATGATAATTTCCCACAATGCTTAGGAATAGGTGACAGCCCTAGTCTGAGATATAAAGAATAAGCCAGCTTTCCTTAATTTAGTATCCTCCAGATGAGTTGTGGTCACAACTCACAGTATTCTGTACCAGCACTGGTCTTGGTGGTAGGGAATTCTAGAAACGGTACTCTCAAAACATCTATAGGGAACAAAGTTGAGGAAAGATGCCATTTACTCAACCCAGTGCGGATGACTCTCTTGGCACCACAACACTTACCTCTCAGAGGCTGGGCCAGGGACCCTCCAGCCTCGTATTTGCTCCAAAGAGGTATCAGTCAGTTCAATGCGCAAAGGCAGAAGTGGGGCCCAGACAGTAAAGAGTAGTGATGCATGTAGACGACGGTACCAGAAATCCACCCGTACGCCACGTGCCCCTCGGCTCTCTTTTCCCCCTACATAGACAGCATCACATACATCTGATACCTACAGGTGAATTAGAAAACACATTGAGGTCCATAGATGTAAAGGCATCTATGTAAAGGCATAAGAAAGTGTTAGAAGAAAGCAAGGATGCCCATATTGATTTCTTGTTTCAGTATGGATTTCTTTCCTTTTTTTTCCCCCTCTTCCCATCCTTCTAGAACAGCTGAAGATGGAACTGTAGCTGGAAATTGTTGTGAGTTCTTATAATCTATCAGTGGGAGATCAAGTCCTTTTGGGTGGTACAGGGAGTGTGTTGTAAACTCCAAAGGAGATAAGCGAGGATGAAAGAGAAGCCACTCACTACCATTGGATATATAACTGTTTTTCCTGAGCTTCAGCATTGCTCTGCTTCATGCCATGTTTCCCATAGAAATGGTACATGCATGAAAACATGGAGGAAGAACAATTGACACAGACAAAGACAATGCTGTGCCCACTGATGGAGAAAACTAGAAGGAAGCATCTTAAAAGTATAGTATGAGCTTGCTAGATCAATGGATTGTCAAGTCTTACAGTGTATGATGGGAAACAGTAAAATTAAGGTAAAATTAAGGTGAGGTGTTATCAAGAGGAAGCTACAAGGATTAGTGACCAAGATCTCCAAGCATTCCAGGTAGTAATGAAGGGTCTGTTTTTTCCACAGATAAGTAGACAATTGGGAATACAAAGTAATACAAACAGGGTGTCTGAGTATTTGGAATAGAAACTCTGGCTGAGTTTGTACAACACACTTAACTTGATTACTAAACCCTTGTCTGTCTGCACAATATATTGATTCATAAACTAACTGAACAGGCTGAATTTGCTAACGTCCTAAACCAGTGTTTCTCAGCTTGGCAGCTTTCAGATGTATGGATTTCAGTTCCCTGAAGGCTGGCTGGGGAATTCTGGGAACTGAAGTCCACACATCTGAAAGCTGCCAAGGTTGAGAAATACTGCTCTAAACTATAAACATTAACTAAGATAAGTTAGTAAAACTTAACGAAGTCTATCATGTGTGAACACAACCCCTAAGACTTTAACTGACATGATTAAGCATATTTTGTAACCCAGCTTCTGACTCTCATCTGAGAAATAAATTGGCAATGAGGGAAGAAGACTGCAGTCTTAATAAGTGTTACTGATTTTGATTCAGAAGCACATCCTTTATGAGGTCACTTGTTTCTCACCTGTAGGACCTGCTTATTAGAAGACTCACACCCCATCTGCTGTGTTACTTCTGAAACAGCTCCTCCTGTTTCAACCACAACCAGCCTCACGGGCACAGACTGAGGGATTCCTGTGAGGAGTGCAGTGTTCACAATTTCCTGTTCCTGGAGAGAGCCAAGGGAATTGTATAAGGATCCAGTGCTATAAGTTATCCATGAGAAGAAAAACACTGAGTCTCAGGCCTCACCTTTACTAATGGAACCAAGGCCCGCACATCTCTCTCTGATACTTGAATCTCCCACACCATCTTGTCCTTCTCAGCCTCAGGATCCTGGCCAGGGTACTCCACTTGCCAGGTGACAGGACGTGTGGAGGCCAGAGAACCTGTACCATTCTCCACAAGAAAATCCAAATACAGGAACTCTGGAGAATACGTTGCCCTAAATGGAGAGATTAGAAGTCAACAGTTAAGAGGCCAGAGAACCCAGGGAAAACCAAGGAGATGACAGAACATCTGTAACAATAATAAGTCCACCTCATTTATCTTGATCTTCATTGAGGTGAAATCCTGATAGAGCTGAATGGAATTCTCTGGCTCAAAAAACATTCAGGTTTTCAAAAAACGTTTCTTATAGTAAGCCCAGTACTGCTTTCTCCCTCTGGCAAGCCTGATGAGTTGCCAGCCAGACAAGGGCAGAGTGAGAAAATCAGTCTTCTATATCAATGCAGGCTTTCACAGCCAGCATCAATCCAATGATGATGAGCTTCCAGGTTCATAGAAGTCCACTTTGATCATCAGGAATCTATCACATACCTTGTAGCTGTGGACAGGTATATATTGGGATTACAAAATGTAGTCTTAACACTCAACTCAAAGGACATAAAGATATTGCCAGCTAGAAAAAATTGAAAAATCTGTGGTAGTTGAACACCTGCTGCTACATAATGGGTGCAACATTCAGTTTAAAGACACACAAGTACTAGCAACTGTGTCAAATCATCCTGTATGACTACACAGAGAAGCTATTGAAATTTATAAACATCCCAATAACTTTAACAAGAAAGAAGAGAGTCTGAAGGTTAACAAAGCCTGGTTTCCAGCTTTACACCACACTAAAATAAAACGGCCCTTAATTAACCGACACTACATAGAATCTACAGCAGTCTCACCTGAAAAATAATAAACAGCAGCGTGTTTCAAAGAAAGACCAATAAAAAAAATTAGTTCCTTTGGAACTTCTTCAAATCAGACAAATTCACCTGCATAAAAAAAAACCAGTCAGAAACTGGCTTTCCAGAGTTCCGATGACATAGTCCATAGTCTACTGCAAACACAAGAGCTCCATCAGTATGAGCTGCCAGGAAGTCCACTACAGAGCAGACCGCTTTCACCTCTGAAGATGCCAGCCACAGCTGCTGGTAAAACATCAGGGTAGCAAATAATTAGCCCTTGGCCTATTAGCCCAGGAGCTCAACACCATTAAATCAGTCCCCTGTCTCCTTTTCTGCTCTGGAGCATGAAAGGTACAAAGAAATATACAGCAGATGCCTCTAAGAAGGATACCCAACCAGCCACTCTTGTCCTGCTTTTTCATGGTAAGAGTCAAAGATGACACCAGCATCACACAAATGCCTCTAACACGCACTGGGGAAATGGCTATTCTCCTCCTAGTCTTGCCTCGGGGATAAGCAATTCATGGCCTATGAACTATTTCAGCCACATCCCCCTCTGTTTATACATAAATAAACAAAAAGCGCAACCCCAGTGAGGAAAATCATCATCATTATTATCTTCAATTGGTACTGAAACTGTTGGACAAAAATCTGCCTTATACTCTCTCAGATGTTTAGTTTCCTGCAAAATAGATCTCTGGTTTTGCTTTGTTTTGAACCTTACTCTTAGGTACCGTTGCTGAGTTCGTTCTATTTTTGGAAGTGGCAGAGGGTACTACCGCTGACACTGGCTCCTGTGACACATCTCCCCCTCACTCAGAAGCCTCCCAGATTGTCCTCACTTCCCAATTGGAAAAAACCCAATGGGAGAAGTTCTTTCAGGATCTCTTTTCCTGGAATTTGGTGGAAGTATGAGAAGCCAGGGAGGTTATAGACCTCTAGAGAGGCGAATGTACAGTGAAAGACAGGATAGTCTCATGATACATCTCTTTACCACTACATAACTCAAGAACATGACATGCTGCCCCTGAGAATTTCTCCCAAATGCTCATCTCCTTGGGAAGAATTTCTCAAGTAAATTTTCTTTCATCAAACTGAATTGAGAACTGCTATTAACAAATGCAGAGTGGGGGTATGGGGGGGGGGCATGATGCTAGATAAGACACCCAATCTGATTGGCTGGATTTTGGGAAGAACTATCTCTTCATCCCCCCTCCCCACCCCCATGATTGTGCCTATCCAGAAAAAAATCAGAGGGGAAGAACTTTAAGGGTGTCCAGCTGGAATCAATACTGTGGGTGGGAAGAACAGATGAAGCTTCCTTTGTTGAGGTCCAAGGAAGGAAAAACTCAAGTCTTTGTGTTCCCTGGATTTATGTCTAACTCCTTAGCTTTTTTTAGATTCTTGGCCAGTCAGGGCATTCAGAATCTAAAAACCAGACTTGTCTGAATAATGCCACAGTTCTACAGAACTGTGCTCCAATTCGAATAGCTCCTAAAGACATAGAACTGAGTACTGAGTGTAGAGTTACATTTCTGGGGCATCTCAGCTTCTGTTAACAACCTCTGCTTAACAAGTTTTTAGTCCTTGTGGTGGTGAAGAAGGAAACAGCAGACTAACATTTCCAGCTGTTGTAAGGAGAACCTGCCCCTCCTGTCACTAACGAACCAAGAATTATACAAACTAGAAGAGTTATATTATTATGCAAATTAAGTAATCATGCACTTTGCTCAAACTATATAATTGATAAGTGATGCAGTATTCAATTTCTCTTCATGCAAAAAGTGGATTGTCCTATACAAGGAATGGGGAGGGACAGAGTATATGGAGTCCTCGTTCAGTGCTTTCTTCATAGGTATATGTACATAAGGGCAAGGTTTTCCTTTCAAAAGAAAAACACCCAATACACTACAACCTGATCAGAGGTGCTGCCTAATGCCTCATCCCAAGGTGAGCCAAGTAGCTCTGTAGAAGCCATTATGACCCTGTCTTTCCACTGCCTATGGTTACGTACTTCCATTCCAACCCACTGCTGGCAGAACGACGACAAGTGATCAAAGCGGTGTGGTGTTTGGCACTCTTGAACTTGTCCAGCTTTGCTGTCCAAGCCTCTGGTCTGGTGGGGCGAGCAGCCAGAACCTGTAACCCTTTCTTTACTTTGATTCTGAAAGGAAGCAGAAATAAAAATAAGACGTACAGACAGAGAAGCAAAGGCCATCTAGATAGCCCCAGTGGTAAGGTTAGGTGAGCAAAGAGAAGTCTTAGAAGGATGAGCACCTTCTGGAAGAGAGGAAACCCTGCATCAGAGGACCTGGAGACTGAACTGCACATCCAGAAACCCATAAGTTGCTGTCAATCTCACCTCTGCCATGAACTAATTATGCAAGCCACCCTCTCACATCCTCAATCCCAACTACAGGAGTGGGGTGAATAATATAGAAACCCAGAGTCATTGTACATTTCATAACTAAGTAATGCATGCAATGCACTTGAAATAGTTGAAAGCAATGTGATACTTATTTATTACAATTATTATTATTTATCAAGATTGTGTACATTGTAACTGAAAAGACTTTTGAATTCAAAATTCTCTCTGTCATTGGGATAAGCACATGGCAACTGTAACTCACCGGAGAGTCAGCAGATCCGCTGTGAAGTTCTGTTGCAGAATGAGAGTGGCAGTGAACAGCTGTCCTGGGCGCAGGGCAGTGTCAGGTACTCGGACCATCACATTGTCATCCAGCCGCACTTCCTGGCGTCGTGGCGGACTCATCACTCTGATGTCCACAGGGCCCACGTAGTGCAGCTGCTCCTTGGGGCCTTCTGTACCCAGATGTGGCCTCTGCTGTGTTCGCACATGGGGACAATCTTTGTGTATCTTCCCGGGTAAAGAGAGCTCCAGCCTATAGTACAGCTCTGCTCTTAGAGGTAGGATGGCTGAATCTTCTGATCTGTGCTGAAGAGTGGCAAGTGGAGGAGAGAACCAGCGAGGGGGGAGTTCTAGTTCCACCACACACATTCCCAGGGGAGCCTAGATAGGAAAAGCAGAGAGACTCACATGCTATTGACTCATTGTAAGGCCCACCCTCAAGCTACACAAAGCTTATACTGTGTAATGCCCTGGTCTATCTTGCTTACTTCCACCTATTCTAATAGGCAACAGGTCCCTGAGGAAATGAGGCCAATGTCTCTCTCACACACACCTTTCTCACATTTACACTATTAAGTGCAATGGCTGGATCAAACTTGAAAGCTATAAATACAAGATGTATGTGCTATGGCCCCTATCCCAAATATCTGCTGCTTCTAGATACTTTTCTGAAAGCATCCTGGTCTTACCACTCTAGTGATAATCCTCTCATTCTCCATCCTATCTTTTTAAGGGTCAAGTGATCCCTTTTGGCAGGGATCACTTCCATGTTTTGGAGCAATGATACTCAGTACAACGGAATCAACACATAACAACAGTACACATTTCATGTCAAAAGAAAGTTCAGACTTATTATTACATACACCTAGTGCAAATCTCCTTGCGCTAAGCTTGGAATCATTCTCTTGCATGAATAAAGGCATGTTGTGCAAGATGAAGAAAGGAGCAATTACTCCATGCCTTACCCTTCATGGCCTTTGTGGGTAGGGGGTGGGAGGATTTAGAATGGCAAGTATATTAGGGAGGAGAAAGGGATGCGGTAGACCAGTCAGGAGCTTGGCATGCCACTTCTACTTTAAACAATGTTTACAAGAAGAATGCTATTATTTAATATTTAAATGTTATTTAATATTTAAAGATTGACCTTGTCTGCTCTAGAATCATGGATTCTGGGATGAACTGCATGGGTCCTTACCATGCAGAGCATCGCAGGGGCTTGTAGTATTAAATCATTATCATAGAGCTGTTTGTCCATGATCTCTTTGAGTACCTCCAAGCAACTAGTGCCCCACAGCTTCTGCTTACTTCCACATATTCATTTCCACTGTCTTAAACCAAGTGCAGCTAAACAGCCATAGCAGGGCTTTACTTTTCATGGCATCTGAAAGCACATACTTAATTTCTCCACAATTTGCGAGAATGTAAACATATATCCTGTACCTACCTGAAGGCGGCAGGCCCGATGCACAACCTGGGTCTGATGGAAGACATGTAGGCTGACACAAGGCAGAGACTGTTGTCTTGACATCCAATCCTGCCCCTGGAGGTGGAAAAGGACGCGAGCGTATGGCTCATAAGGAGATACTGTGCCCTCAATGGATACCGCACGGATGTCCCAGGTGGTAGCAACATCTGTCAACTGGGAATTATCTGCTGGAACTGCCTGGAGAGGAAAGAGAATCTGAATTCAGGGCAGAATCTCCTTGAACAAGTCTAGAGAAGAATGGAGCTCTGCCCTGTTCCATTTCTTACACCTGGGGCCCTCAGTGTAGTGCCCATAGATTGGTACTAGTGTAGTGTAGTGCCCACTTGGTACCTATCATGTTTCCAGCCCCAATTTAGAAGAGACATATAAATGGTAAGCTAGCCAGTTACAAAGCAAAGCGGCAGCCTCTAGCATCATCCTATTTGACAAGCATGACTCTGGATCCCATGTGGATGCCGTATGCATTTTTAGAAAAGAAATAAAATAGGTGGCTGCAAACTTTTGTGTTGTTTAGAAGCAAAGATATTTATTTAAAAAAAGGCTGACAGTAGTAGACAGAGGTAATTGGGAACACAGGTGTCCATCCCTAACCACAATGACACCAAAATGTCAAAATGTTGCATTATGGCATCACATAAGCCCCACTCTTTTTGTACTTCTGTTGTAAAACATGTTTTGTCATTTTCCCCTCCCACCCCTCCCCCCTCTTGTTAGGGGAATCCTAAGAGATGGTGTAACAAGATGCAAACTCACCAGTTTTGGCCACATTCTCCATGGTGGACATTTTGTGAGAGTTCCCATGACATGCTCTTAAAGTTCCAAATGCAATTCAAGGGTTGTGGCTCTTGTTTTACATTGAAGCATCTTCCCAAACAATTAAAAGCCAAATTTACCTGCTGGGCAGTGAAAGGAAGGTAGGTAGCCTGGATGCTGGGCTTTCCTGCAAGTCGACGATGAAGGAAGAGGAAGGTCTCTGAGCGAGAGCTGAAGGAGGCATTTCCTGGTGAGTAACGGTCAGTACGCTGAAGATGGAAATACTCTGAGCCATTGAGTACTTTTAGTTCAGCTGGCAAGTACACCGTGTCAGGAGGATCAGATTCACAATCCACTGCAAACAGGAGAACTGTGCCCATCAACATCAGACATATAACTTCCTCACACATGTGATGGAATGGAATTATGAAGGCCAGGCTCAGGGCGAAAAACATTTTCTTGATTGATGTCAGGCCTAGCCCAAGGAACTCCAAGAGACCATGTAAATTCAGTCCATCTATGTTTATTAGCTACAACCTCCAGGAAGAATCTTCCCAGATTGAAACCCCAGCTCCCAAGTAACGCCAGCCACAACATTGTGAATTCCTCAGGAAGGTGCCAGTCTCATCCTCTTGTATCTCCCACGCTCCTCCAGCGAGCTAAGAAAATGTTTTTCACCCTGAGCCTGGCCTTCATAATTCCATTCCATCACACACCATAGGCATATACATTTGTGCCCCCATTCCCACTCTCAATCCTTCCATGAGATGGGGGGAAAGCCTAAGCAACAGCATGGAATTTACTGTGTTCAAGCTTATCTTATTGAAACTAGGAACTCAGATTTGGATCAGAGATAGGCAACTAGCTCCCAAGGCAACTATCTCTGGCTCCAATTCCTCTAAAGTTGTACTAAAAGAAAAAGAAGCAACAATCCACCCATATAACGCTTTGTATCAGTGTTGTTCCGGTTACTATACACACTCTGAAACAAAAAAAGTATGGCTTCAAGAATAGGACTACCATATCTAGACTGTGAAATCTGGAAAAGAGATATGGAAAATTCTCTTTGCTGCCATTTAGTAGTTGTTGGGTTTTTGCAGCCCAAATACCATATCCTTCTACAAACAAACACACAAATATCTAAGGATGTAGATTAATCCTCATGGTGAAAATCCATCTATGTGGTTACTAAGAGTCAACACTGACTTGATGGCACATAATACATCAATGAGATTAATCCCACATAACTGGTGACCTTATGTCACTTGAATAAAATTGTAATTGTGAACAATAAGAGTTTCATATGCTCCATACATGTAACCTTTACAATCAGGGAAATTCAACTCTTATTGTAGAGTGTGACCATCAGCCTGGTCTCCAGGTCATCATCTTAGAGACAAGGGCTACATTTCCAGGTGACAGCCTCTTCTACTTCACAGTCAATCTGAGCAGAGCTTCTATTAAATATTTGGAGAATGAAAACCAAACTTTCTCAGACTTCTGCTTAGTGATCAGTTCTTATAAGTAAATTATTTTTATTTATTTTATTTATTTATTAAATTTATATGCTGCCCATCTCCCCCAGAGGGTGACTCTGGGTGGCTCACGATTAAAACTATACTGAGTTTATATAAGCAGAATGGCATAGGTCTGGATCATCTGCATGATTTCAACTCCATTATTTGCTCATAGATTTTGGAGGCATGTTTTCAGATACCAAATTATATCAAGAATGCCAGAGTATTAACTTAGTATATAGCAACATTTTCCCAGTTATATTGTCCAGGCACAATGGACTACAACTCCCACCAAAACCAAGCCAAAAAGTTGGGCTGCATTAGTGGAAGTTGAAGTGTAACATATCTGAAGGATGGGATAAAATCTACTTCAAAGACAACATTCAATTGCATAAAGTTAATCTTTATTTTATTGAGGATGGGGTTTTTTTCTCTCTCTCTTCTTCATCAAACAAGAGTGCAAAGCAATGTATAACTATGAAAAAGAAAGCCCGCCCAAACAAGTTGACTTTTATTCCTCTACAAGTTTTAAATTGAATTGTTTCAGCAGTTGGCTACTTGGTTTAATATGACTTCATGGACTCTCA